TGATGACAGCCTAGGACTGCTGTGAAACGCCGATCTCGGTGGGGAAGCCAACCTTGGAGAGCTGAGCGTGCCGCCCGCCCTGCACGGGGTCTGGAGTTGGCTAGGGCTCCCCGCGAGCCGGTGGTTCAAAGCTTCCGCACCCCCAAACAGGTATCTCTCGGGACAACTGGCACAAGCGCCGCAAGACCGGGGGCAAGAGGAAGCCCTACCACAAGAAGCGGAAATAGGAGCTGGGACGCCCTGCCGCCAACACTAAGATTGGACCCCGCGCATACACACCGTCAGCGTGCGCGGCGGCAACAAGAAGTACCGGGCCCTGAGGCTGGACGTGGGCAACTTCTCCTGGGGCTCCGAGTGTGAGTGAGGCCGGCGGGCGTGGGTGGGGACTCGCGCCAGCCTTCCTTCCGAGACGTGGTTCTAAGAGCTCCAGTGAGTGCCTTTAGCAGCAGGTCCAGGGCCTCCACCCAGGGACTGGAGTTTCTCCTGCAAAGACCCTAAGGCGGTGGTAACGAGAGCTTTCTCGCCAGCCTGTGGGCTCGGAGAGGCTGAATCTAGAGACTGTGATGGGCTGTGGAAGGGGAGCTGGTGCCCTGTGGCTGGGTAAAGGCCGAGTTCCCTTGCTTCTCCTCGGTCCCTGTTAAGGTGGGGGTGGGGGGGCCAGGCCGGTTGGCCTTTGGTTGGCTCTGCTTGATTCTCAATTTCTCCTGCGAGCAGGTTGTACGCGCAAAACGAGGATTATTGATGTTGTCTACAACGCATCCAACAACGAGCTGGTCCGCACCAAGACCCTAGTGAAGAACTGCATCGTGCTGGTTGACAGCACACCGTACCGGCAGTGGTACGAGTCCCACTACGCACTGCCCCTGGGCCGCAAGAAGGGGGCCAAGCTGGTGCGTGTTTGGGGAGCCCACCTCCCTGTAGGGTGGGGGGAGGCCCGCCTGATTGATTCCAGCCTTCTTGTGATGAAATTTTGTCCAGTTCTGCTACTGAATGGAAAGAGAAGAAAGCCTTTAGTGCTGAGGAAGGCAGAAGTTGGGATGTGCGGGGTTCAAGGGTACCGTGACAGTCCTTCCTCGAGTTAGAATTTGGGGACCCCCAGCTAACCCATCTTTGTCTCCTTTACTCAGACCCCTGAAGAGGAAGAGATTTTGAACAAAAAACGATCAAAGAAAATTCAGAAGAAATACGATGAGAGGAAAAAGAATGCCAAAATCAGCAGTCTTCTCGAGGAGCAGTTCCAGCAGGGCAAGCTGCTTGGTGAGACGGCTGTTGCCTTGGGGTGGTGGGTCACGAGCGATGGTGTGCCCTCTGCATTTTACCCTTGCCTCGGTTGTTTTGACTGCCAGCTATATAGTCTAGAGGGTTCACCAGGATAGTTTAATAACAGCAGCATACAAATCACTATTTGGTCAACCCATCAGTGGGAAGCTAAAATCGGAAATGGTGGGCAGGGGTCCATAGGCCTGAGTGAGCAGTATTCTGAGAAGTGAGTGCCCAGGCTAAGGGGACTGTCTCAGTGATGAAAACTTTGTCCAGTTCTGCTACTGACTTTAAGTGATGATAAAGTATATCTGAGGAGACAACAGGTTTCATGCCTGCCCCCCCATGCCTGAACCAGTATGCTTTTAAGGGCACATAGTTACGGGTAGACCGTATTGCTCTCTTGCTAAGGACCACATACTCTCTCGGCAGCATGCATCGCTTCAAGACCAGGCCAGTGCGGCCGAGCAGATGGCTATGTGCTCGAGGGCAAGGAGCTGGAGTTCTATCTGAGGAAAATCAAGGCCCGGAAAGGCAAATAAGTCCTCTTCCCTCCTATCTTAGCCCGTGTAATAAAGGTGTTTATCCTAGGTTCTGTGTCCACATCTGAATATTTGATCAGCATGCTATTAGAGAACTCTAAATCCCTCTCCCTGGAGGGCTGTACTTCAATATAGTAGGGGGGCTCTGGGCAACGTGGATCAGTGGTTAGAGCCTCAACCTGCACACTGATTACTTGTCAAGGGCACCTACCTGGGTTGCAGGTTCCATCCCCTGCCTGGGTTAGGGAACATGCAGAAGGCAGCCATTCAGAACTGTGTCTCATACTGATGTTCCCCTCTGTCCTCCTCTCTCCCTTTTATTCTAAAATTCAATGGAAAAAATGTTCTTGGGCGAGGATTTAAAAAAACATGTGTAGCAGGGGGAAAGTGACATGTGGCTTGCTGGCCAAGCAAAGACCATATAAGGGAGGTATTACAGCATTAAGGCCCCCACAGTATTGATGCATTGACCGTGATAGTAACATGAAGCAATATTGCTCCTAAAATTGGCTCCTTTAGAGATCCTGTACTCCTTGAACCTTGAGTTTAACATGTTAAGTGCCCAGCCTATTTTGGCTTCCGGATGGAAAGTACAGTGGGGCCTTGATTTACGAGTTTAATTCGTTCCGTGACGGAGCTTGTTATGTCAAATCAGTTGTGAACAAGTGAGACACACGATGCTGGGCCGACGTGGCGTTCACTGTGATGTTTGCTGCGCCAACTAGCGGTGTGGTATCTGAAGCTGGCTCGTAACCCAAATTTTAGCTCGCAGCTCAAAGCAAAAAATCAGCCAAGAGACAGCTCGTATCTCGAAAAACTCGTAAGTCAAGGCCCCACTGTATGTATAGTGTCAGTCACCAGTGACTGACTGGGCCCTTAACATCTTAGTGGTCTAAAAAAATTTCTCCCTGATCAGTTTGCCTCAGTGGATAGAGCGTTGGCCTGAGGACTGAGGGGTCCCGGGTTCGATTCCGGTGTATGTGCCTTGGTTGCGGGTGCATCTCCAGTAGGGATGTGCAGGAGGCAGCTGATCGATGTTTCTCTCTCGTCGATGGTTCTGACTCTGTCCCTCTCCCTTCCTCTCTGTAAAAGATCAATAAAATATATTTAAAAAAGGAATTTTTCTGCATTGTTGAGAGCAGGTTCTATTTTTCTCTTAGGCCCTAACTCCTCCCCCTAAAAAGTATGTTAGGTTGCCAGTGATGTTTTAGTTCAGAGAAACTATGAGAATCATTGATCGGCTGCCTCCTGCATGCCCCCTACTAGGGATCAAGCCCTCAACTTGGGCATGTGCCCTTGACCAGAATTGAACTGGTTACCCTTCAGTCTGCAAACTGATGCTCTTATCTATTGAGCCAAACCAGGTAGGGCTATCACCAGCATTTAAATGAAGTTTGTGTTTATCTTTCTGACTTGAGCTAACACAGACCTACTTGACACCTGCACTTTGATGTCAGCAGGTTCGTCTAATAGCAAATCTTGCTTTAACCTGTTATGTCACCTTGACCATTCTGGTCACTTTTTTGTATCTTACTGGTTCTCAATGCTGTTTCAGCTGTCCCCAGTGCAACCCCAGCAATGAGATTATTTTAAAACATTGGGTTTTTAACAAAACCGCTTCCCATCTCAAAATCCTTACTACTGTGGAACTCAATGTGACTGGTCCCTTTTCTATAGTGCCTACCATCTGGCTTTAATTTATGAACAGTTAAGATATCCACATGACTTTCTCCAGGTCTCTGCTCTGTCTAGTGAGTTCTCTGATCACAATTTTTAAAGGTATGTGGTTTTTTTTTAATATATTTTATTGATTTTTCACAGAGAGGAAGGGAGAGAGATAGTTAGAAACATCGATGAGAGAGATACATCGATCAGCTGCCTCCTGCACATCTCCCACTGGGGATGTGCCCGCAACCCAGGTACATGCCCTCGACCGGAATCGAACCTGGGACCCTTCAGTCCGTAGGCCGACGCTCTATCCACTGAGCCAAACCAGTTTCGGCAAAAGTATGTTTTTATTGATTTTTAGGGAGAGGGATAGAGACAAACATCGATGAGAGCCCTAGCTAGTTTGACTCAGTGGATAGAGCATTGGTCAGCCCTGCAGACCGAAGGGTTCTGGATTTGATTCAGGTCAAGGGCACAAACCTTGGTTTCAGGCACCTCCCTGGCCCCCAGACCATTGTCGGGGCGTGTGCGGGAAGCAGCCAATCTCTCACATGGATAGTTCTGTTTCCCTCTCTTTTCTACTTTGTAAAAATCAATGGAAAATATACCCTGGTGAGAAAAAGAAACATCAAGCTCTAGCCAGTTTCCATCAACTTTAAATTGGATCAGTGGATTGAGCATTGGCCTGCGGGACTTACAGTCCCAGATTCCTTGGGGTCAGAGGCACATGCCCTGGTTGCGGACTCAATCCCCAATAGGGGGCGTGCAGGAGGAGCAAATCAATAATTCACCATTGATGTTTCCCTTCCTCTTTGAAATCAATAAAAATATATATATATTTTAAATATATTTCTTTATTGATTTCAGAGAGGAAGGGAGAAAGAGAGATAGAAACATCAATGATGAGAGAGAATCACTGATTGCTGCCTCCTGCACACCCCACACTGGGCATGGAGCCCGAACCCAGGGATGTGCTCTTGGCCAGAATCAAACCTGGGACCCTTCAGTCCGCAGGTTGATGCTCTCCACTGAGCCAAACTGGTCAGGGCCATTCACCAACTTAATAGCTAACGGTTACTGAGAGCGACACTCCACACTTTGCCTTTCCTCTCTCTGGGGATTGGAGGGGGGGCCGGGGGGGCGGGGCTTCCAGTAGAGACCTGAAGACTTATTAGACAAATTCAAAAAGCTATAAGCACTCCTTTGCCTTTTCTAACTTGAGCTCTGCAAGGCATTGATCTTCCTCTCCCTCCATCCCTTCCACCTCATCCGTCAATAGGACCAGTAGGTTCTAAGGAGCCTCCACTGTCTTCACAGATGACGGTTCTTGCCCTGGAGCAAGGCTACCTCCCCCTGAAAACCCAGCAAAAACTCACACCTTCCTTAGTGAATGGCTATGGAGAGGTGCTGTTGTCCACATTATAGATTTGGTCACGCAGCAGGAAGATAGCAAAACCAGCATTCTGATGGAGTCCACAGACTAATGCCACCGGCTGCACTGAGCCTCTACCTACGCACTCCTGCCTCCCTCTGAGTTCGGGCATTTGCCTCCTTGGGCATTGTGATCAGCTTTGATGTTCACTAGTTTATTTACTGGAGGCTGATCCTAGGACACAGGGACCTTAGAGGAGCTCAGTTTAGCAAGGACTCCAATCTAGTTCTTTCTCTTAACCATGAACTGGGTGCTCCCAGCACAGCAATACCACCATGGGGATAGACAACTTTCATCCCTTAATTTAAAAAAACCCGCCGAGGCCGGTTTGGCTCAGTGGATGGAGCGTCGGCCTGCGGACTGAAGGGTCCCAGGTTGGATTCTGGCCAGGGGCACATGCCCAGGTTGCAGGCTCGATTCCCCCAGTGGGGGGCATGCAGGAGGCAGCCGATCAATGATTTAACCACTTGTTTGCATGTAACTAACATTTTTCTGTATCATGTTGGTTGTTTCTCTTTAATGCTCAGGAGCCCAGGTATAGGGGACAGTTAGGTTCAGGGCCTCAGCTCTGGTAGGGTTAAGGGATGAGCCTTGGCCGGTTTGGCTCAGGGGATGGAGCGTCGGCCTGCGGACTGAAGCGTCCCAGGTTCGATTCCGGGCAGGGGCGTGTGCCTGGGTTGCGGGCACAGCCCCGGTGGGGGATGTGCGGGAGCCAGCTGGTCGGTGTTTCTCTCTCATCGATGTTTCTAACTATCTCTCTCCCTTCCTCTCTGAAATCAAGAAAGACACACACACACACATATATAAAACTATATATAGTTTTATATATGTGTGTGTGTGTGTCTTTCTTGATTTCAGAGAGGAGGGGAGAGAGAAACAACAATGATGAGAGAATCATTGATCAGCTGCCTCCTGCATGCCCCCCACTGGGGGTATCGAGCCTGCAACCTGGGCATGTGCCCCTGGCCAGAATCAAACCTGGGACCCTTCAGTCCACAAGCTGCATTCTGTCCACTGAGCCAAACCGGCCAAGGCTCATCCCTTAACCCTACCAGAGCTGAGGCCCTGAACCTAACTGTCCCCTATACCTGGGCTCCTGAGCATTAAAGAGAAAAAACCAACATGATACAGAAAAATGTTAGTTACATGCAAACAAGTGGTTAGAATAAGACGGAACTTGGAGACATTGTAGAAAATAGGTCTACCTTTCATCTAGCACCAATATTCCACCTTTGTGTGGAAATTATCGAAAAATCGGTACAGCGGTCTGGTAGGGTTAAATTTACCCATTCTCCACATTTGGCTGGTGGGAGGGGAGAAAGGCTTGGCACCAAGTGCAGGTGCTGGAAGGTGGGCTGGGTGGTGTATGTCTGCTTTCACATCTGAGTTTAGTCAGCCTCCATTGCAGGTTCCCAAGCCCTTTATCTCACCGCACAGCATGCCAATTCAATTTTAAACGATTGTAACTGCACAAGCGATAAATATATTCTCATTGTAAACAAAAAATTGAACATTACAGATAAAGCAAAAGTGCCCAACACATACTTTGATCAATCTTCAGAGTGAGGTTATTGGGATAGGGTATATTCTAAACATCTTATGGCTCAAATTGTGATCCTTGAGCTCCATTTCAGATCTAATGAAACGTTGAGAGTGGAACCTAGGACTTTTTAATGAGCTCTTCAGTCATGGTGATGCTTCCTCAAGACTGAGAGCTGGCCTAGCCCCCCACTGCCAAGGAAATGAACTGCACTGCTGGGGTCCAACCCCAGCAGGTCCAGGGGTTCCCCATAGGTGCGGATAGAGTCGGCGAAGAAGGAATGACACAGAGACAGCGTTCAGTTGATCAGCAGCCTTGCCAGGATCTCTAGCCACAATCTCCAGCCAAGTACTGTGTCCATGTTCTCTTGCTAGGTTCTCCAGCCAGGTTCTCCAGGTTCTCCAGCCAG